ACGAGTTCGCCCTCGCATCCCTGATACGCCGAAATCTTGATTCAAAGCTTGACAGAATCCCAGTATCTCTTCCCACAGGCACTTCTAAAAATCTCTTCTTCATAAAATAGAAAAAACCGCGCTGACAACATTTCAACCCCTTTATTTTTGCTTTTTGCTAGTTTGCATCATGTCAAGCTACCATTCTGTATTTTTGTAATTAGCGTACCGCTCACAGGAGTGAATCTGACAGAAAGGGGGGCTCACACAGAAGAGCAAACAAAACAATCCTTCCACCACTTGGCATAGAGGGAACTAGCAAAAAAAAAAAAGTTTAATATTTGGCTTTTTTTGTCTGTATGTCACTCACGGCTGTGAAAGGTGTTCTAGTGCATTGGTTTATACCTCCCCGGTTTGTCTGAGGTGGTCTTTAGCTGAGGGAAAGCAGGCGTGTGTATGTTTGTGTATTTATCTGTGTATATATGCATATGCGTGCACATATATATACACACCTGTGTGTGTATATGTATATGTGTGCACATAAATATACACACAGGTGTATATATATATGCATGTGTTTGTATACATGCATGAGGGTGTATATGTATGGGATTCAGTTTGGGTTGTGTTAAACCCAGTTTATAGCGGGAGATGCTGTTATACCCATCCGTCCCAGCTGTAGGAACTGAGCTGACTTAAAGCCGAGAGCCATGGACGTACACAGCTCATCCACAGTGACTGGTTACAATTCTGGCTATTGAATTGCTGTCGGCTGATGGCGTATTGAAAGTCATTGCCGTTGTTCGATGTGTAATTTATTTGTTAATGATATACAAGGTTTCACTGTGACAAGGAATCAATAATGAATGCTTTATGCTTTAACAACATAAAGACATAGGGGTTGCTTTGTTTAGAAAAATGTCCCATTCTACTATCTTTCTCCAGCAGTGATCCATATGGTGCATTACTAAAAAGGAAAACAACTGTGAGTGAAAAAATATGAAATACTACAGGCATAAATCTTCTATTTTCCTACCAAGATGGCCTTTGTTATCTGGTCTATGAAAAGAGTATGAAAGAGTAGCTATTTATACAGCACTGTTTTTCATCATTAGCTTTTATTTTCTCTAAGGCAACCTTTTTTTTTCCCTTCTTCTTCTTTTTTATATGTCTTAAATGGTTGACCTATAATTTTATTATTTTCAAGTAATATTTTTGGATTCCTATCTCCCATGTATTGTCTTGGTGGAATAAGTTACCTGAAATTTTTCAGTATATACAGTTAATTATGGGTTTGTAAATGATCTTATATTTCATTAGCATTATTTCTGTCCTCTTCGTTACGCAACCTGAAATGCTGTTCTTTATTTTGACTTGTAACAAATTTTGTCCTCAAGCTGCTCACCTAGAAGTCTCTGAAACCCTCAAATTTTTTCTAAACATATCTAAGCTAGAAATATATTTTTAATCTGGCTCACTAGTAAATATATTAAATATGAGTTCTGCCAGGACCACACTTTTAAGCTTCTGAAGTATAAAAAGTTTATTAAAAATATCTACTCTTTGTCATCTCACTCTTTAGTCTTTATCTAGAACATAAACCACCTGTTGTTATTTAATTTTTTTCATAAAAGGAGGAGTAGGTGCTTTATCAATAGATTTTTTTTTTTTTTTAATCAATACTACCCTGATTGTTCCCTATAATGTAATATTAGTCCAACTTTTATTAGCTATTGCGTATAGTGGGAAAAATTTGAAAAAGAGTCCCCACCATCAGTCATTTCAATTGCACCATCTCAGAGGCTCGCTTCAGTACCTTAAACACGACTGAAGCCCCCGAAGCACTGTGCAATCCTTGGCAGTACCACCGTCTCTCTAGAAGCTTTCAGGAGGGAGGCAGCCGTCTCCTCTCCAAGCAGTTTTCTTAATAACGTTTCATTTTCATATTCACACCTGTTCGTAGATCAACTTTGTTACAGGCAAGGGACTGTCAGAATTTCTCAAGTGCAAAAACTTAATTAATTTTCTTCCCCCTTGTCAATCTCTTACTTTTTAATTAACTCCAATCTAATGTCATTTCTACTGAAAGGATATGTATAAAATTTCTTGATATTTACTTTGCATGTTAGGGTGTTTTGAAATAAAGCATTAAAAAAATTTCAATTTCAGTGTTCTCTGCTGAGTGAGGTAATTTTTATCATGTTGTGATTTAAGCTGCTATAGGATGAATTCAGATTTACTTTCCATTTTCTTAAGAAAATCTGTCCAAAAAAATGCCTCAAAACATACCATTTAGAATTTTTTTTTCTCTTTTTGTTCATGATTCCTTTGCTCCCCTAGACACAAATAGCTTATTGTATCCTAGACCAATGCTATCAACCATAATATAAAAAAAAAAAAATTGCAGAAATGCCAGCAAACCTTGTAGTGGATATTATTGGGAGTTTCTTGTTGAAGGCACATTTACATTCATGTTTCTATGAGTAAAGCTCATGTCCATCTACTAATGATTTTTTCACCTTTTTTCATTAATATATTGGATTATGTCTGATGTGTAAAAAATATTCTATTTAGCCTTGACTTAGCTTCAAAAATCTTCAGTGGCTTATGCTAAAGAGGAAACATTTCAGAGGAAGAGTTATGTTAAAATTTAAAACAAACAAAATTACTGTTATGTTGGAAAGAGTCTTGATAACTTAAAACTTAAAAAAACCCCTCATTTATTTTCTGTCCATTTAAATGTATCAGTTTTAATAGCAAAACAAGTAGAGAAATTCCAGTGCGAACACGTTTTAAAGTAATGACCAAAGATTATCAATATTTTACTGTATTTCACATTTTAATTTCTTTGCTTATGGCATCATTAATTCCACTCCTGAAGGGACTTTATTTTAATTACAGCAGAAATTTCAGTGCTGGGTAAATCTCTACTTAAGACTTATAACACGAGATCTCTTTGGTTCAAAAATCTACTGTGTAATTCATTTTATTTATGCTGTTCTACTCTGTTTTCCCTCATATTAAAAAGCATATTGGCAAAGAAAATGACATTATTGCTGAAATAAAATGACAGCGATGAATCTAACAAGCTTTTCCGTACCTTGAGAGTCATCTGAATTCCCCATTCAGGGAATTATTATACATATCCCCATTCAGGGATTATTATACATAAGAGATCTAGCAGTTTAGACAAGGGAATAGTAATAGAGAAGTCCTAACTGTAATGCTGGTTTTCATCTGTTTGTTACTATTTCCTCACCCGTAACAGACAATTATAATTACTTATCTGTTCCATGGGACCACTGTAGGAATAAACTTCACTATTTGTGATGAGAAAAAAAAAGCTAGGTAGGTGTTAAGTTGTTAAATTTACAGCCACATTAGACTATTACAGGGATGATGGGAGTATGGGATTCACTTAGCTGTGATAAATTTGTTTTGTTCCATTTCATCAACTAGGCTAAAAAAAACCACTATGATTTTTTTAGGAAAAACATGAATATTTTAGGAAAAATACGAAGTAGTTAACTCTGACATCTATTGACAGGTTGGCAAGACATGTTTGGGGAATCGCAATAATTCAACATCTCATTTGAAGACAGCAGAAACAGAGACAAGCTTTCAGGTATTCTGTTTCTGAGGAATTCTCGGGTTTTTATTAAAAGGTCTTGTAAAGCATACAATTACTTGAAGTATATTTATGCATTTTATGCTAATGCTTTTGAAACAGAACTGCTCACTCAGTTCAGACTTTGACTGTGACCTGATTGCATTTCATCTGTTCAAAATGGATTCTGGTTGGTAACAATTTGCAAAACTGTTTAGTACTTGAAGAACTGGACTATCCTAGTAGTCAAATGAGAACGTGATGTCCGTAGCACTGGGAACAGGAGAAGGGAGAGATTTCCGAAATAATTATATATCTGCAATTATGTGAAGCTGTATTCAGCCATGTTACCAACGGAAAAGCCTTAAGCAAGTTGTACACCTGAGCTCTTCATTTGATAGACCAAGAGAAAAAGATAAAAATCACCACAATTATAAAGCAGCATCAGACTTGTATGGTTTTGCACTGTCAAAGATTAAATATGCTTCCTTTAGTAGAGATCAGAATCCTCTTCTAGATGCAGTTGACGAATACCATATTCTGTTTTAGTAGTTTAAGACTGGTACATCAGTTTAACAGAAATACAGTTCTGTGTGCACTATTGCCGTGGATTTTTAACATACTTTTTTATTTGCTTATGTATGTCTGTATCGTGTATGCAATGCTTACACTGATGCTCTTTTCACCTCCAACAGAAGTTGCACAGCCCTCCGTGGACTAAACCCGAAGATAAAAAATCACTTGAAAGAAATGAGAAAAAATTTGAAGAGTCTGTTAGTACAAAAGAAAAAAAACTCTAAGCACTAGTAATCTACATTAAAAACGCCCATCACTTGCTTCCATCTTCATATTCTTTTTAGTCCAGAGGCATGAAATGTACCAGGTTTCTAAAGCATGCATTTTTCACTATTTTATGAATGTTTGTAAATTAGTCTAGAATAGACCAATTAGTACCTTTCAGCAATAATCCAAAATGGATGTTTGAAGAAATGCTTTGTAATACAGTCTGAATTTTGAACTATTGTTCTACCTGATCAGTAACTGCATACTATAAATTATTTTCTTTGTAAACAACAGCCATTCTCAAGTATTTTCTCAGTCTGTTCTATTTCATGTACCTTTATGGCAGATTAGGTTTTAAATCAAGTTAAGAATTAAGGGGCACTTAACGTGGGGAAAAAATACCTGTGTAAATATAGTTGAAGTACAATACAACTCATAAAAGCAACTGTAAAAATGGAACAGTGAAGGTCCATGTATACTTAGCTTTCAGTAATACCATTTCAGATCTGCTTACTTAAACAATAAAACATGTTTGGTTGTTTTTTTCCTAACTGCTATCACAACTAGTCCATTTCTGAGCACTGAAGCGTTAACAGAAATGCAGAGTTAAAGGGATGGAGACGGAGAGAGTCGTGGCTTTTGGGATTCAAGCAAAAATTTTTGCAGGTGGAACTGAGTTAAAATTTTACAGCTTGGGTACCGGTCATGGGAATTCAGTTCCATCCTTTATATTTGTGCTGATCTCAACAGAATAAATATACTTTAAATGGTAAAACCCCACTTTTTCCACCACAGGTGGCCCTTGGTCACCACAGCGGAGAGGAGCGTTTCAGTTGGGCTAAGCTCTGTGACTCCAGGGTTCTTCCAGTTTCTCATGGGTCACATATTCTATGACAAGAAAGCAGAAAGGAGGGGAGGAGAAGGAAGAGAGAATGCTTTTGCTTCTTTGTGTGTATGTCATTATTGGTCTAATTTAGGAATTCATATACCTCATCTTGTTGAGATGCAAATCTTTCAAGACCTAGTGCCTTAGGAACAGTTAATTGCCTAATGCAATGCTCTTATGTTTTCCTCTTGCATGAAGTGTTTTAAGCAGTTGTAACCCGTAAACTCCCACCTTCCTCTTACTACACACAGCAGCACGTTACAACTTCCACTAGATTGAAAGTAGTTGACTTATATTAGTTTGCTTTTCCTTGCTTTTGAATCACTTTAAAAAGCAAATAGACAAATCTTATTTCGTTTAGTGGCGCTCTCTGCTTCAGTTTTAGCTTTTAGTATTTTACCTATCCTTCAACAGTCTCATCCAGTAGCTGTCTGTTCCTTGCTGGTGTGAATATTTCACCCTGACGTCTTGTGTATGCTCCTCTACTCAAAGGTAGATATTGCAGAATGGTAGGTTTCTCTGCCTGGAGAAATTACAACACTTTTAAAAAGAAAAGAAACTCATGAGCTGACCAAATGATGGCAAAATACTGCTCAACAAAGTCGTACTGCTATCAAAGAAAAGATTATCCATGTTAAGTGTCAAAAGAAGTGAAATCCTGGCCACAAAAATAATCAGAAAAGGGATGTGGCTTTTCACAGCTGATCCTAAAATCAATCATCATCAAATTGTACCTATCAAATACAATATGAATTTGTTTCAGGCAAATGTGGGCCACATAGCCGAAATTCGCTGCACTTCAGTTATAGCCACAACAAACCTGGATGAAGACAGTCTGCTGTATTTCAAAATTTTCAGTGAGAAAGAGGCTTGTGATCCTGTCACATCTACAGCTGGCGCTAGTTTCTAGTTATGTCAAAACCAACCTTTCCTTGCTTATGACACACCTTAATGGGAATATCTGAGGTATGGGCTGAAAAGGTCACTGAAACTGTTTCAGTCATCTGTCTAGAAAGGACATGGATCTTCACGTACGTGTGGCAGAGGAATGAGGTAAGCCGTCCTACCTGGCATTTGTTTCACCTTTCTAAAGAATTGAGCAGTGCTGACAGCATATCTACTGTTGTTATAACTGCTTATTGCTGCTGGGTCAAGGAATGGCTTGGGGTTGGTGTCCACGACATGAAAAAACTGTACCTTGTAAGTCAGCAACAATCTAGCTTGCTTTTTTTAATTTTTTTTTTTTAACATACGTGAAACCAGTGAATGGTTGAACAGCCCTCTGCTTTCTGGGAATGTGCATAATTTAATGGGTATTTCACCACCAGATAATTCATGTAATAAATCTGTTTACCATCAGAAAAACAACACAAAATGGATGGGGTGGATGGGGTATTGTGAGGTTTGTTTTGTTTCCAAAAGGTTTATTGCTACAAGCTTTCCTCTAGCCATGGGATCATGATCTGAGGTATGTTTGCACGCATGTATGCTTTTACTTGTGTATGTCCTTTTTCCTAGGTGACGGTGAAGACCAGGTGAGACAGAACTGAATAAAGCCATGTTGGTGGGGAGATTAATCCTCTTGCTTTGATTAAAGCTGTAGAAATCAATTATGTCTAGTCTTGAGGATTACCTGACTACCTTCAGATGGGACATTGATTGCCACTTGTTTTCAGTGTGATTAACAGTTTCACTTCTCGAAGATAATGACTGGGGGAATCCCTGCTTATCTTCATACCTACTATGTATAGAATAATCCACATGATACAGAATTAAGAAAAATAATGATGGATAAATTAATCTTTTATTTGTATATGGTGTAGGTATATCTGATATATTTTGTAGGTATGGCTTAACAAATATTGCTATTCTGAAGATTCTGGTCTTGTATGGAGACGTTGGTACATATCTAAAGTGAAATCTATCCTTGAAGGTTGTATCTCAGAGAACTAGAGTTCAAAAACATATTAACATCTTTTCAGTTTGAAAGGAAACTTCTTTTCGATTTATACATGGAAAAAAAGAAAAAAAATATTTTACAGAGGACATTGGAATGTGTAAGAGTTTGTGCGGTAAAAGTCAAGGATTTTGAAAAGAAGGAAAACAAACCGCTTAAAATAATGCTTCCAAGCATGAACGTTGCTTGTCACTAGCAAAGGTGTGTATGTCTGCCCTCAGTGGATCAATAACCATTCTTTCATTCCAGCCATGAGAGTGAGTAGTTTCACATCCCAGCACTGGGGCGAAGCTAAACAGACCTTGCTGTTTCCTCTGGTTTGTAGTTACGCAACATTATAAAGAACATGGTCATAAAGGAACTTCAGTTTATACAATTCAAGTCACAGTCACACTTACTTGGTCTCTCTAGAATACTCTAAAACTGTTCATGGTCAGGTTCAGAGAGAAGCGAGTCACTGGGTCTGTCTCCCTGTGCGGACTCATCATACACAGGGCAGCGCATCTTAAGAAAATGTTTTGTAATTCCCTGCGGTTGCCTGGCAACTGGGTCACGGACCGTATCCTTCTCTTTGCAAGTAAGGATTACACATAAGGAGACAAAATGCTTGTCTGTTAGATGTTCCAAAGTTTAGCCGTTAAAAGCAATTTCATTTCCAGTTTAAGAGCAGGCCAAACATATTCTTTTTTGTAAGAGTATGAGATGGATTTTAGATCGTTTCAAACTTTAAACTTCCATTTCAATTTTACTTTTGCAGACTAGACTTCTCCAAATTAATCTCTCTATCCATCTGTATCTATGTGCATATTTGTATTTGTAAGCATACATGCATATTATCTATGTGCATATATGTAAATTTACATGTAAATATACATATACATATATGAGTGTGTATATAAATAAAAAATTCTGGAGTGAAATTTCATCCATGGTCAGATATCACTTTGCATTATAAAATTTGTAACTAAGAGGTGTTCACTCTACCAAAATGACAAAGGTCAAGGCAATGCCTGTATGTAAAAATAGAACACTAAATTCCTCTAATTTTCATGTTGAAAAGCTATAGAAATGTTTAAGCCTATTTGTGTTCAAAATGGCTCATTTTTTGCAGTAGGACATGGTAGATCATTTTGCTAGAGTGAACATACGTATTTCATTAGATGTGATTTCTGGTTTAATCATCAGGATGTCTTGGTGCTTCCCTGCTTAAGAACTGAGATAGTGAAATCCAGGCCGTTGTTGACCTTTCATACGGAATTTTATATAGAGACAGCGTTTTTCATTCAGTTATACAATAACCTGAGAAGTTTGTAATTCTTTTCAGTAATAATGGGCTATGAAAAGCCAAAAATTACAGTGGCAGTCCAGTTCAGAGGCATGTGTTACGAAGTGGTCAGAAGGACTGACTTTTCTGTTTAAACAAGAATTTCTTTGAATGTGAACAGAGGATGCTCTCACCGAGTCTTAGAACATTAAACTTAAGAGACACCTTGTGGCTTTGGGAAAGCTGTCTCACTCTCACTTCTGTAAGTACTTCAGCACAAATGATATGATACACTGCATGTGAATATATCGATATGGGATAAGATAGTTTACTTTCATTTTTAAAGTCAGATCCTCAGATTAAAAAATGTTATAGAAGCATATGAAATATTAGCACTATTTCTTTGCTTGTTAAAAAAAAAAAAGTCAAATTTGATCTCTTAAAGGGAAGCTCCAGAAATGGGTGGATTTCCAGAAAAATCTCAAAACAGTTAATGATAGATAGAAATACTTTTTTTTTTTTTTTTGTCTGTGTTCTATCCTATGTATTTTGAGCATTCTTTTTTCTATATATGTTGACAAGGTGTCTATAAGGAAAAGTCACATTTTGGCTCCACTTAAAAACACAAAAAAGGAAAACCATTTCATGATGGAAATAGATAGTAAAGACTGCATTTGCAATCCTACTTGATAGTTGCCATTTAATTTTACTTTTAGTGTTTCTTTTTAAAATTGACAAAACAGTCAACTGCAGTTGGCACACTTGTGATTAAATGTATATTAAAATGCACTGCTGTGCAAGAATTACCTATTTATTCAAATGAATAGTTTAAAAAACAAAAAAAACACATAATTATTAGTCATACCCAGAGACCACTAACTTTTTCTTCCAAAATATTCTTAAAGGTGCTGTGAATGAAGACTATACAAATTAATGATCTATAAGCTGAACTTGATTCTACCATAATATTTTAGTACACAATTTTTTGCCTTAATTCAAGCCATGAAACAACTGGCACCTAAAGTAAATCGCATATGTAAATTATCAGACCAACAAAACTTTTCTGACAGTCATTAACTGTGTTCTCTAACTGAAAATATTTTTCCTTAAATTTCTGTAAGTTATTTTCAAGTACAATAGTATTAGATTTACTTCAACGCTTCCACCTTGATTTGCACAG